AACAGTCCTCCTTTAAATGCGCTGTACTCATCCACAGATTTGGGTTAAACTGTTCTGGAACGATATCGTCCTCTTTTGGAGGACCAAACAAAGTAGTTTCGCTTTCACTACGAAGACCAAACAGGCCTATTTCGCTTTCACAATGAAAAACACAGTGGCCTAGCGTGAGCGGAAGCCCCGGCTTAGCATGAGCTGAGGCCGGGCTAGAATGAGCAGAGGCGGCAGGGTCGAGAATGGCACGCCCGGCGGATCCGACGAAGGAGCGGCAACCACATGTGACGACCCCGGGCTGGACTCCGCTTCGTCCACAGTGAAAGCCGATCCGGCGATCCACAGCACTAAGTTGATGTATTCCCTCAGCGACCAGCACAGATCAGCTCTAGGCATGACGAAGCGGATATCGTCCTCTTTTGGAGGACCAAACAAAGTAGTTTCGCTTTCACAACGAAGCACACAGCGGCCTATTTCGCTTTCACAATGAAAAACACAGCGGCCTAGCGTGAGCGGAAGCCCCGGCTTAGCGTGAGCTGAGGCCGGGCTAGAGTGAGCAGAGGCGGCGGGGTCCAGAACGGCGTGCCCGAGCGGATCCGACGAAGGAGCGGCAACCACATGTGACGACCCCGGGCTGGACTCCGCTTCGTCCACAGTGAAAGCCGATCCGGCGATCCACAGCACTAAGTTGATGTATTTCCTCAGCGACCAGCAACGTCCCAGGAGGACTTGAACGCAGCATAAGCATATCCGTGCATGGTGATGGAGCATGCCCAGTAAACAAGTTCAATACTTTACTGTACATTCAGGTTACTGTACAAAAGTGTTGTTCCGTTTGTTATTTTACCATTGTTCTAAACAAATAATATTCTCTCCTCTCTTATTTAATCAACAGCTCGCCAGACTTGTCTGTGTAAAGGCATTAAGACCGGGTTGAAACATCTGACCATTCTCCTTGCTGATGCAGTATATATAACACTTTAGTATCTGACCTAGTGTATGGATCTACCTCTATTGTAATAACACTAGTACCTACAGAATTTAAATGAAATTACTACATATATTAAATGAAACATTAAGCTATTTTTCCTCTGTGAATGCAGGACCCAATGGACCTGTGATTATGATTATTCAAAACGTATCTTCCTTCAAGATACACACACATATAGTCACATATATGCAAGCATATAGTTAGAGATGCTGCAGTTAAGCACAATTACAGACTGTCTGCTGATCAGTAATGCCCGGTCAGCCTGTAACAATGAACTCATCCAGAAGGAAGCGATCACTCTTTGTATTAATGTTTCCAAGCAGCAACCCTTTCCCTCTATGTGGGTAAGCACTTTGCGTGTACCTGTATATGATGACCCTCAAGAAGACCTGTACAAGTATTTTGACCGCTGTGCTGATGCCATAGCCAGTGAGGCAGAACGAGGTGGCCGCACTGTTGTGTAC